GACAATTATGTGATCGTGTGTGTGTGCGTACCGTGCCAGTTCCGTGATGCGTGTGTGCGTACGTGAGTGACAATTAAATGTGATCGGTGTGCGTCGTGAATCGACATTATGTGATAGCGTGGTTGTGCGTACGTGAGTGAGCATTATGGTGATCGTGTGTGCGTCGGCGTGAGTGAGCAATTATGTGATCGTGGTTGTGCGTGCGTGAGTGACAATTAATGTGGATCGTGTGTACGTGAGTGACAATTATGTGATCGTGTGTGTGTACGTGAGTGACAATTATGTTGATCGTGTGTGCGTACGCTGAAGTGACAATTATGTGATGCGTGTGTGCGTGCGGAGGACAATTATTGATCGGTGTGGTGCGTGCGTGAGTGACCAATTATGTGAGTTCGTGTGTACGTGAGTGACAATTAGATGACCGTGTGGGGGGGGGGTTTTTTTGGGGCGTGCGTGAGTGACAATTATGTATCCGAATGTGTGCGTGCGTGATGACAAATTATGTGATCGTGTGTACGTGCAGTGACAATTGATGTGATCGTATGTGTGTACGTGAGTGACAATTATGTGATCGTGTGTGGTCCGTGAGTGACAATTAGTGATCGTGTGTGGCGTGCGTGAGTGACAAATTATGTGATCAGGTGGGTAACGTGAGTGACAATTAAATGTGAATTCGTGTGTGGAGTGACGTGAGTGAACAATTAGTGTGATCGTGTGTGCGTGCGTGAGTGACTGCAATTAATGTGATCGCTGTGTGCGTGAGTGACAGTTCCGTGATCGTGTGTGCGTACGTGAGTGACGGAAATTAATGTGTGATCGTGTGTGCAGTGAGTGACAATTAATGTGATCGTGTGTGCGTACGTGAGTGACAATTATGTGAATCGGTGGTGCGTGCGTAGGAGTGACAATTCAATGTGATCGTGCGTGCGTAGCGTGAAGTGACAATTATGTGAATCGTGTGTGCGTGCGTGAGTGACAATTAATGTGATCGTGCGTGCGTGAGGTTGACAATTAATTGGTGATCGGTGTTGCGTGCGTGAGTGACAATTAATGTGATCTGTGTACGTGAGTTGACAATTATGTGATGCGTGTGTGCGTGCGGTTGAGTGACAATTATGTGATGCGGTGAGTACGTGAGGTGAGCAATTATGGTGACACGTGTGTGCGTGCGTGAGTGACAATTATGTGATCGTCGTGTACGTGAGTGACAATTTATGGTGATCGTCGTGTGGCTGAGTGACATGTCCGTCGATCGTGTGTACTGAAGACAATTTATGTGATCCCGTCGTGTGCGGCGTTGAGTGACAAATTATGTGATCGTGTGTGCGTGCGTGAGTGACAATTATGTGAATCGTGTGTGCGTGCGTGATGAAACAATATATGCTGATCGTGTGCGTGAGTGACAGTTCCGGTGATCGTGTGTTTACGT